CACATTGTGATCAGTACCCGCAGTACCATTCTGACCACCCTCCAACAGAGTAGGATTACTGGCGCCCTTCATCACTCATACTGGAGTACCCCTCCGAGCGCGCCACCAGTCATCCCCCCATCGACTTCTCACCACCTGATCTCGTAGTCTACCTGACCCGACCAATTAGTGAAGTTTGGGACCTCATTCAGAATCCTTCAACATAGTTATTACACTAATGTACTCTGTACCACCCCGGGTACCATTCAAACATAACAAAATTTATTCACATTTGCCGGATTCTGGACCACCTGTCCTCATGGCTCATTCGGGTCAATAAAAATAGTATTTGACTGATTCTGGCACCAACCCTCCGGCTCAGTCTAGCCAATATATAACGTGTCAGGACTGATTCTGGGCATCAGCCCTCAGGCTCAATCTGACCCACACACGTCACAACACACTACTTTCATTCTCTCTCTCTCTTTATATATATATTTTTCTAAAATCATTTCCAAAATCATTTCCGAAACTATTTCCAAAACTATTTTCGAAATCATTTTTGAAATCATTAAATTACTATTTTACCCTTAATCTTTTCTTAAAATTCCATGTATGTCCCTAAATGACTATTTTACCCTTGAACCTTTTTTGAAAATTCCTTCCATGTCCCGAAAATGACTATTTTGCCCTTGGACATTTTCAAAAATTCCTTCCATGTCCCGAAAATGACTATTTTACCCTTGGACAATTTCAAAAAATTCCATTTATGTCCCTAGGATGTAAAATGACTATTTTGCCCTTGAACATTTTCGAAAATTACATTTATGTCCCTAGGATGAAAAATGACTATTTTACCCTTGATCTTTTTAAAAAATCTCCACCATATCCCTTTCTTCTTCCTTCGCCCCAATAATAGTATCGAAATTTGCAGATTTTGGCAGATTTCAAATTACTCAGTTTTAGACAACCAAACTAGTCTCAAATCGAAATTAAACATGAATTATATCTAATTTAAGTTGAAAACAGAAATTTTACTATATAATTCATCCTTAATTTCAAGAATTTAATCAATATTTAAAACTTTGCAAAATATGAATAGTAATCACCTCCAAGTACGCCATTTTCAAAATTCAGGTTTCAAATTTCTCAGTTTCAATCACCCAAATTAGTTCCAAATCAAAATTAAGCCATAAACATGTTCAATTTAAGTTAAAAACAACAATTTTATTATATAATTCATCCTTAATTTCAAGAATTTCAGAAACTTTCAAACGGTGAACAGTTCATCAGAATCAGAAATTCTTCAAAATCAGACATTCAAATAATTCATATCTCTACTTCTATTCCTTATTCGCAGAGTACCCAACAATTCAATTTCATATATTGAATGAATTAAATTTTCCCTTACCTGGTATGGTATTTCTACCGAAGCTTTTCCACTTAATTCAAGTTATCTCCCGTTTCACCAGATCATGCACGAGTAGAGTCTCGTTGCTTGAAATTTAGACAATAGAAGAAGAAGGATGAGAGGAAAATTTTGATTCTCCTCCTCCCCCACTTCAGTATGCATATATAAGAAAAAAATTTACTGTGCATGAGAAAAACTTCTTTACGAAGTTTTCTTGCACGATAATATTAATATAATATTAAAATAAGGCATACGTCACAGTTTAAATTTAAAAGATGAGAAAGAAAGTGAAATTTTTTAACAAATATAATATAGAACTGATAATTTTTATTTAATTAATAAAATATCAAATTTTATCCTATTAAATCATTTATGTGTTTTAGACTTACCATAAGTTGGTTTCTTATAATTTTAACCTATGCAATGTTACATACAAGTATCACATTTTGTCCTAATAAATTGCAGGACAAATTATTTTAATTAAATTTCTTAATTTCTATAATCATCATTTTAGAAATTATATTAACAACCATTTTCATTAGTTTGTAGTGTATTAATTCTATTTTTAACACAAATGAAGTGATAATAATAAATATTTAAGAGGGACTAACATTGTTATTTCTAGTAATTTACAAAAAAAAAAAAAAAAAAAGCTTTAGGACAAAAACACACATATGGGTGATAATAAAGAAAGCAAATAATACCATTTCAAAACTCATTTGTTTATTTTAAATTATAAATAAATAAATAAATAATGGTTTCCAACTAACCCGTACCTCTACTGTATCGCTTCGCCTGCACCACTGCAAACACCTACATTTGTAAATATAAAATAAAATATATACCCATATCTTGAATATTAAAGCTATTCGTATCCCTTTTGTTTTTTTAATAATAGTATAATATTTTTAATTAAAACTCCCCTTCTCAACTCACTCACGTTTATTAAGTTCTTTTATCTCTAAATTTAACATACTTTAATTCTAATAGGAAAAAAATGATTTGACGACAGTTTTACACGTAAATTATAATTAAAAATGATTTTATTATATGCATATATAAATAAAAGAGATAGTATAATTTTTAATTTTATCATTATTATTAAAATACTTAAAAAAATAAGTTTAAATTTTAGAGATAAAAAAATATGCATATTTAAAAGAAAAATAATAATTGAAACGTATTTAATATTTAAAAAAGTTAAGAAAAATTGAAACGTATTTTACCTATATATTTTTATTTATAATAAAATACATTTTTATTATAGATTTGTTCTAACCTAAATCTAATTTGAGTAATGTTATTGCGTGACTGTTGTGTCTGATATGGAGGGGTTTTTATCAATAATTTAAGGAAAAAATGTGTTTATAATTTATTAATAATCCTTATTTTTGGTTATTCAAAGGTTGATGGTTGTCTTAGTAAGACGACAATATGATGGCTTTACAGGTTGGCAAACGACCTTCATCTTCACCCCCTTTTTCTTTCTTTCTTTTTTCCTCCATTATTTCTAATGCCTCTCTTCCAGCTAGCAACCAAAACAATTAACTTTGCTAACTCTTCTATAAATTTACTTCAAATAAATATTTAATTTTAAATCTCAGCTCAAAAAAATCTATAAAATTATCTTTATAAATACAGAAATATCGAAATCAACAAAAATTTGTGAATCTATGACGTTTATAGCAAATGAGAAGATAATATTAGAAAAGGTAATTAATGTTTAGTTTTTCTTTAAGAATAAAAAATGTTTAAATTTGATTTTTTTTTTAAATTGACAATGTTTATAGGGAAAGAAAAATTGAAAGAGAGAGAGAGAGTTGTGCTCCATGTTGCTGTCACGCGGCTCCGCCGCTGCCTACGTTTATAATTTATGGCTATTGCTACATTGCGTAATCTTATATTCAACAATTATTTATTTATATTATAAAATTATATAATAATTATCTTTTATATAACTTTTAAATTAATTATTATAAAAACAATGTTTTATTGTATATTATAGTTTATAATTAAAAAATAAAATTAAATATTTATAATGTCGGTAATGTTAATAAAATTTATACATCACGAAGTAACAGAATCACTGTAAATTACAAATTGAAGATGTTGGAATTGTAACCAATCTATTTTCTTTATCAAATACTTTAATTTAAATTTTATATTCAAATCAATAATTAATCAAATTATTATTATATTTAAATATATTATCATGTTTTAAATTAATTAATAATGTTATATTAATTATAATAATACTAATTATTTTATTATATTAATAATAATTTAATGGTTAAAATTAATTATAATTTTAAATTATTAAAAAATATGGAAGAGAACAAAATAATAAATTCTTAACTTTTACCTTAAAATGAATTTTCTTCTATGACAAATTTTAAATATATTTGTTAATTACAATATTATATATTTATTCATAAATATATTAAAAATAAAACTAAAAATAACATTAAAAATATAACATATATTTTATTTAATTATTTTTATTATGAAATATTAAATTTGTAAGAAAATAATTAAATAATTTTACAAAAAAAATCATAAAAATTAATTTAAACCGATTCATTAAATATCAATTTAGTCTATTTTAAATTATTCTAAAAAATTAAAATCAAATAAAATTTATCCCATTCGGTACTTTTTAATTTTATTTTAGATTACGACTATTTTTCTTTTACATTCACTCTATTCTAAAATAGATTTATCATTACTACCATGATGTTTATCATTTTGACAATTTCTCAACACGTTATAAGTATTGATACTGATAACTTATAAAATTATAATTTTCAAAAATATTTTTTTCAAACTTTAAAATACGATAATATTTTTTAATCATTCAATCTAATCACTTAACTCAATTATGAGTGGATTTTGTTAAATTGAAAATAAACCGAATCCAATTCAATTAGTTTTTAGTTAAATTAGGGTAAAAATTACACCAATCTAGTTATAATCGTATAATATATCAAACCAAATTCAGATAACTTAAACTAAACTATAATTCTAAACCTAAGAAGGACTCTAAATTAAAATTAGACAGTGTGTAGGATATAGCTAGACATATATACTATCTTGTAGCAAAAAAAAAATAAATAAAAAAATAAAAATTCCAACACATTAAAATATAGTATATGTATTTTATTAAAAATAGTGGTTAATTGCATTACAATTCATAATATTCCAAACCCAACTGTATCCTCTTGTTTTCTTTCTCTCTCTTTCATTATCATTCCTCCCCCAATTTCAATTCCTCCGAGATTCTCGCTTTTCCCAGTTAAGGCGTCAAGTTAACCTTCTAATCTAAACAATGAATCAACCAATTAATTATTAATTATTATTAGTAACTAAAGAAACTATTTTATTTTTCATTTATCTCAGCAATCGAATTAAAAAAGATTATATATTATATAGTTTATTTAATTTACAAAACGGGATGAAACGCATTATTAGAGCCATTTGCAGTTTTGGTACGTGTCCACACTTGATAAGTCTCCTCACAAGCCTCATTAGACTCTCTCTGACTCACTTTACCCAACACACCACACCACAACACAACACAGCCTTAACCTTAACCTTAGCCTTTGAAGCGACAATGGCCGGCGAACTCGCCGGAGACCACACGCCGGAGCTTCTTGGTCTGGTCCACGACATCGCCGGCATGTGCGCCGGCTCCTCCTCCGCCCTGCCCATTGCCGCCGACGCTATGTTCCGTAAGGACTGCACCGATCTGGTTCGCCGGATCTCCCTCCTCACTCACTTGTTTGAGGAGATAAGAGAACTCAACAACAGCAACAACAATGTCCTCGCTTCCGCTTCCGCGTCTTCCTCCTCCTCCCCCTCTTCCGCCGCCTCTTCCTGGTCCTCTGATCTTGTCATCGCTCTTCACTCGGCAAGACGCTTGCTTTCCGTTGCCAGAAACTTCCGTTCCAATTGCTCCTCTGTGAGTTTCTTGATCCATTCCAACGCTTACCCTTTGGGGAGTTTCGAGACTTCAGTTCTGATGTCGTTTTCTTCGGTTTTTCAGTAATTTAGATCTGTGGTTCCCTCAGCTGAAACTCCCAAACTTTGAGTTCTTTTTGCATTCCTTTTATTAACCGAAACGCCATCGTACAAAGTTTTTTTAAGGAAAAATTCTCTTTAATTTGGTGATGGGTGATTCGGTGGGTCTTCAATAGTTAGTACTGATGAAGTCTATTATAAAGTTAATTGTTACTAGTGCGAGTAGATATTTCGCGAGATTATATAATTTTCATAGGTTTTGAATTTTTTGTTTAGATGGGTGTAATAGTAATGCGCACAATCAAACCGCTATCTATTGTTATGTTTCAGTGGAGAAAGCAAAATACTTCACATATAGGCTTGCTTATGTTCTTTGCATTGTTAACAAAGAGGGTCGGTTTTGTAGAAGAGACTATTCTCGCACAGCGTGTCGAATCAAGGTTTGGATCCCTTATGAGAGAGGTTCTTGCATTTAGAGCTAAACCGTGTCTGAAACAGGATTGTCTTGGTGAGGATGTTTGTAGAAAAAAATGTCCGTTGTGTTGTTTCATTGAATGGGAGTGTTCTTCTGTTTGGCATTTTGTGTGTTGTTCTTTGTGTATGTGTCGGTAAACTTTTGTGTCCTTACCTTACGATGTGTTCTTTAAATAGAGAGATAATTTTGCACTTGTTGAATTTGTTTAAGTCGAAATTTTACGAGGGTTGAATTCCTGTGGGTATGTATGTGTAAAAGGATGTCTGTGTACATCTCTGAAATTTGATGTCTTGATTTAAGGACGGAGCTGCAAAGACCATCGTCTTCCAATTTCAGTGTGTGACATGGAAATTGGAGAAACTGTTGAGCAATTTGCCGTATGACATTTTGGACATCTCAGAGGAAGTCAAAGAACAGGTAGAATTTGGATGAATGGGTTGGTTGTTTTAGTATTTGGAATTTGATATTCTATTTGCTTGAGTTAATTTCTGATATTATCTGCTTTTCTAGGTGGATTTGGTGAGAACGCAATTGAAACGAGCCACGGATAAGTATGGGTTTATGATTTCAAAGATGCCATCTCATGAATTATCCCAGCCACTGGCTGAAGAAATTAGTCTGGTTCTTGGCAAATCTGTGGGTGGATTGTACAAACAACACAGCTGTCCTGAAAATTTATCAGAACTAGACAGCACTTCTAAAAACAATGGAGAGAATAATTGCAGCACAAATCGGGCTGGATCTCGCTTGGAAAGAGCAAGGAGCATCCCTGCTTCTTCTGAAGTTCCCTCTTTGAATGAAGCTGATCCTGAAAGTCAAGAAATTTCTGGGAGACAGAATCTACCGGAGGTTAAAAAGCCTGAAGCAATTGTAATTCCTGAAGATTTTCTTTGCCCTATATCCTTGGAACTAATGAGGGATCCTGTTATTGTGGCGACTGGTCAGGTAAATTCATCTCAGATTTTGCATCAACACAACAAAAATATTCCTGCAAAATTTTCTGGTCTTCTAAATTTCCTTCTTCTGTTATTGTGCAGACGTATGAGAGATCTTACATACAGAGATGGATAGATTGTGGAAATACAACATGTCCTAAAACACAGCAGAAGCTCCAACATTTGACCCTTACACCAAATTATGTTTTAAGGAGCCTTATTTCTCAGTGGTGTATAGAGCACAACATTGAGCAGCCAACAGGACTAACTAATGGGAGAATAAAGAAAAGTGATGGGTCGTTCAGAGACGTTACGGGTGACATAGCAGCAATTGAAGCTCTGGTGCGGAAGCTCTCCAGCCGGTCTGTGGAGGAGCGCAGAGCAGCTGTTACTGAAATTCGATCTCTCTCCAAACGAAGTACTGACAATAGGATACTAATTGCTGAAGCTGGAGCAATTCCAGTTCTAGTCAACCTTCTAACATCAGAAGATGTATTGACGCAAGACAATGCTGTTACTTCAATTCTCAACCTTTCCATTTATGAAAACAACAAAGGACTTATAATGCTTGCTGGTGCCATTCAATCCATTGTCCAAGTCCTCCGGGCTGGAACCATGGAAGCAAGAGAAAATGCAGCAGCAACCCTCTTCAGCTTGTCACTTGCAGATGAGAACAAAATAATCATTGGTGCCTCAGGAGCCATACCCGCTTTGGTAGAATTGCTCCAAAACGGGAGTCCTAGAGGAAAGAAGGATGCAGCAACAGCTTTGTTCAACTTATGCATTTATCAAGGGAACAAGGGCAGGGCCATTAGGGCAGGGATCATCACAGCATTGTTGAAAATGCTTACAGATTCAAGCAAATCAATGGTTGACGAAGCCCTAACAATAATGTCGGTTCTTGCCAGTCACCAAGAGGCAAAAATTGCTATAGTAAAAGCCAGCACTATACCAGTTTTGATAGATCTTTTGAGGACCGGTTTACCTCGCAATAAAGAGAATGCGGCTGCTATTCTACTTGCTTTGTGCAAGAGAGATGCCGACAATCTTGCATGTATAAGTAGACTTGGTGCTGTCATACCTCTCTCTGAACTTGCTCGAACTGGTACAGAGAGGGCCAAACGGAAGGCTACTTCATTACTGGAGCATCTTCGTAAGTTGCAGCAACTTTGAATGGAGTAGTTCTGCAAATAACTTCAAGTTTCTTCTGTTCTCCCATTATTTGACATAATTTTCCACACTGCGGTTTGCAAACTGGTCATACGAGGTGATATAAGAAAGTCAGCCTCGTTGATTCAGTATTCTTTCCTTGGTTTGTTCTTTTTTAACCCCTGCATGAGCGTGTAAAGAAATCATTGATATATTGTTTCCTTAAGAAATTCTTACAAAAGTTCCCGTTTACCTCTTTTTTAGCTCGGTTCCATCTTGAAATAGGTAACTGTATGTAGTATATACCCCTTGTGCTACCGACTTAACTAAATATGGACCCTGCCATAATCAAGGCACTCCTTGAATCTCTCAATAAATGTATTCAGATTTAACTCAAATATTCCCAGTTAGAAAAGTCAAACCGTAATAATCCTTTTCTTTTTCATTTGTTCCAAATCAAATAATGAAAGCTGAGAATGGAAAGAAAAAGAGAAGTTTATACGAATATACTCATTCAGAGAATGGGCGAGTAACTCTTGTCTTGGATAAATAGGCAATCTATTGGACCATAATCACCATGAGAACATATTCCAGTGGCTAACTGCAATGGAATTTCAACTTAGCTATTTGCATTCTTACTTGCGCTAATCTTTGTGACTCGTTTTCCATTCTCTGGTGCCATTTGTATTCTAAAATCTTCTTGAAGTGTTTTATTTTTCTTGAAATGAAAAAGCTTTGGTAAGTTGCATTCTAGGAGTTTACGGGGTCAATACAAGTCTGTACGACTATGAAAACTTGCATATTACTCATCAACAAGATCTTTACATTGAAGCCGAACTCATCAACCATTGTTGGTATGCTCCTCCAGTTTAACCGAGTTAACTCCCTCTGGACCAATGAGATTTCTGAGGAATTAAAAGAGTAATCTTCCTTCAAATGCTGTGATGCACAGTAGATTCAGGATGAGGTCAATACGAGAGATCTGGCTCACTTACTTCAACCGGAAGTCATCTTTGAATCAAACAGCAAGGAAGCAACTGGATCCAGTTTATCAGGAAAAGTCCTCAATATGGTATACCCAAGATATGTAGACGACACCTTCACGCGTATTCAAATCAATTTTCTCTAAAATTACACACACAAAAAAAGACATAAAGGTCACTAAATTTAATTTCCTATTTTGACAAGCACTGCTTATTTTGTCTTGGATTATGCCGACAAGTAGTTAAGCTTCAAGATCGAATGCCATGGTTGTCTTAGATCTACCTGGTCCTTTGATGGATGGATCCCTTCCAATCCTTTTAATCTGCTTCTTGCTTTCATCATGTCGATAAAATGTTTCACAGTACTATTTTGAATATCGGATCGATTAATTCATCTGATCTAATCACGAATCAATTTTATTATTTATTATATTTTATAATTATAATCATCATTTATGATAATAATAATAATAATTATTATTATTATTTTAAAATTATTTTTTAATAATTTATTATGTTATAAAAATATTATTTTATTAAATTTAAAAATTTCTATTAAATCTTTAAATTTTAAATTCTTATATTCGATACCGGTCAGATTTTAAAATCATTAGTTTTCATTAGCAGTCCAGACACCATGCATGATCCGGTAATCATACCACATTTCAGTTTCATTGACCTTCGTTTTGTAGTTTTCTTTTTCATGATTTACCAATTTCAATGACTTAGTCGAAAGGAATGAAAGGTATGTGATGTCTAGTAAACAATTGTTTTTGTTTATTCATTTTTTTATTTTTTTATTTCATTTTCAGTATTTTTTTAAAATCAAGTATTTGAAATGTTCAAAAAATTAGCTGTTAATAAATAGCTTTTGTTAAAACGACCGCCCAATCCAAAAATAAAAAAATAATAATCTCTGAAAATGAAAAAAAAAATTCAAGCATCTAAATCCAGGTTTAAGAAGAAACATCTACGTTAACATTATCATATTCAAAATAATGTTTCCATGGGTATTATTAATTTATGACCAATATAATTTTGCACGTGGTTTACTTTTCCTATGCTATTGTTAGGTATCTAGATTGAACTTTATGATTTGGTGGGAAAGTGAGAGGTGCAATTTACCACATTGATTCGCAAGTCACTGCTATTTCCAAAGAAAACATTAACTTGATACAAAGTAAGGTGATTGGGTTGAAATACTGAAATAAGAAGAAAAAAGTGCTACCGCCAAAAGAATATATATATATATATAATATGATATTTTGATATCTTCCAAAACAAATAACTTCTTATATAACCCATTTTCTTAATATAATAATTATTAAAAGATTTAATGAAAATAGGAAAAAGTTAAAATTATTATTATAATATAAAATGTAGTGGTTGTTTTTTTTAGGTGAAGAATGTCACCAAACCATGAGAAAGTGACGAAACTGAAAAGGGAATATATTGAATTCATGAGGGGTCATGTATATATTATTTATTGAATCCACTTTTTTCGAATGAGTTTTTTGAAAAAAAAATTGAATTGACCTTTTTAAAAAGTTTTTTAAAACGTTTTGGAATCAACATTTAAAAAAATTGATTCCATAGTACTTCTAGGAAGTTTTTAGAAAAGTCAAGCTTTCAAATAAATATTTTGGAATCAATTTTCTAAAAAATTTGGAATTTTTAGATTACTTTTTTTATAAGCATTTCTGAATCGGAATATTTCCCAAGAGCTCATTTTAAAAAAGTTTATAGAAATGTTAATTCAAATTATTTTAAAATCAGTTTTATAAAACTTATTTACGTTAGAGATAATATTATCATTTTAGATGAATATTAGGATTCAAGAAAAAGTATGAAGGTATAGAAAGAAAATATGAGATGAAAGAAGAAATAGAAAGTTTATTTCGATTTAGAATAATTTATATTTTAATTATCTTAATAAATTAAATACCAATTATAAGTTAAAGTTTTTCTATAGATATTTCAACTTCTATCAAATATAGTATTATGTATGGAGAAGTATCGTTTCTTCATGTGTTATATTATACCAAAAATGATGTGGTGATTAGATATATAACTAAATTATATTCTAAGAAATTTTACAGGAGACGACTGGTAATATTTCAAAGTTAGAAACTGATATTCCAATCACTAAGCTATCAAAATTTTTTGATTATAGTTTATAATAAATTATATTTATATACAAATAAATATATATACAAATAAATGTATATCCATATAAATATATAAATACAATATATTTATATATTTATATATAATTAAATATTTATTTTTTAAAATTATTTAATTTAATAAATTATTATAAATTAATCTAATTATGATTAAATTAATTTATTAAACAAAAAAAGTATTTAATTTTTTATTATGTGAATAATTAATTTATTAAAATATATTTAAATTAAGTAATTATTATATAATTTTACCGATGGATATATCCGATCAGTAAGTGATTGTTAATTTATCGATGAGTTTACCAACGGATATATCCGTCGGTAATTAATTGTTAATTTATTGACGGATTTACCGACGGATATATCCGTCGGTAAATAATTATTAATTTACCAACAGATATATCCGTCGGTAAAACCAAATTCTACAATCCGTCGATAATTTCCGTCGATAATAACTAATTTTCCGACGACTTCAAATCCGTCGGTAAAAATCCGCCAGAAATATGTGATTTTCTTGTAGTATCATTCAACTAAATAAGATTTAAATAAAGATTAATGATAAGTTGTAAACATTTTTATTCCTTATTCATTACATGAGAGTTATGACATTTTGATGGTGATCCTCAACAATAGTGTGTGTGATGAAAAACTCTTCATGAACATTATTTCAAATAATATATTGAATGAAGAGTATAGACAAAATGAGTAAGATATCCCTTTGTAGTTTGAGACTAATATGATTGATGAATGAAATAGATAAAAACTCGGTGCAAGGAAAGAATTTCACTGAAGAGGAGAAAATAAGAAAAAAAATCCCATGAACAAGGAAAATGAAAAGTAGATTATAGTAGTTGTATTGAAAACATTAGAGATAATAATTATCTTAATGTTACTTGGAATGATTATTTATGGATGGTAGATTATAATCTATCTTTCCATGTAAATAAGAAGTTTCTTCTCCTATTACAAGAGATATTTTGGCATAGTTAAAATGAAAAATCATGTTACAAGCAAAGTTATATATGTGATCATGCCACCAAATGTGGGAAGCAAACCCTTGTACAATAAGTGAAGCATGTACCTAATACCTAATATGTGTTTGAATCATATTTGAGTTGGGAAGTAATAACTAATATTTTGTATTCATATTTAAAATTTTATTGTACTTTTTTAAGTATTTTTTTTATATTTTATTATTTATATTTTTTTTTCCTTTTTCTATATCTATAATAAATTTTGGATTGTTTTGAATAATTTTTTTCTATTTAATTTTTGTTTACTATTTTTTGTCGTAATTTTTTCTTGTAGATATTTTTTGGTTAATTTTTATTTTATTTAATTCTTTATTTCAAATATTTCAATTTTCATATATAGAATATGGAATTGGACTTTAAATACATCTTTTATAGTTTTTAAAAGTTGAGACAAAAAATAGTGAACTTTTGTTAGCTCTATTACATTTTATAATTGGACTTATAAAATGTATTTCGATTCAAATTTAAACTTTATTCCAGCTCATTTTAGAAATTATCATTCATAATTAATTAAACATATTACTTATATTTTAAAACACTCGTATCACCCATAATAATTTAAAGTTAGTTTAAATAAAAATTATCATTAATATACTCCTTATATATTTATTTTACATTAATATTCTTATGAAAATAAGTAGTACGAAATATGTTAATATTAATTTTGTTTGGCTAAAGATTACTGTTCTAATAAATCTACAGGTGCAATGACATAATTACGTACTTTATAAAAAAAAATTGTGATTTGAAGATTTTTAACTTAATTTAATATGATATCATGTATCAATTTCTATAGGTTGTTCTCACTTTTCTTGTCCTTTCAAATTATATGATATATTTCTTATTTGAAACATCTTTTACCAAAATTTTTAAGTGGTTTTTTGTTTTTTGTACCCTTAATAACTATTTTTTAATTGAAAGTGAATTATGACAAATGGTCCACAATATATTATAAGAAAGTGAATTTTTCACCAAGAAACTCCTACTCAACTACCATTGGAAAATATTTAAGTTTATGTCAATGAAATGATTGTGATAGGTAAGTAGAATTTTACTATGTATTGGCAAAAAGTTTTATTTTCATTTGGGTTATTGGAGAATGAGCTTTTAAAAAAATAGTATGAAAAAAATTAGAATTCATTATAGTTTATATAATTGACAAAGTCTTAATCTATGGATTGATTTGAATAGTCTGTAATATAGATTAGGATTAGGTTAAAAAATAATTGTATTTATCTCAAACATACTTTTTACTAAAATATTTAAATTCTTGACTACATACCTAGAAAGGTTACGTAGAGAAAACCAAATTGAAGTGAGCTACAAGAGTTGACAGAGAACGTAACCTGAACACTAAATAAAAAAAATTTCCACTTCTATTGCTGTGGTTGATGCCTTTATCATATTTACACCTCAGACACACATTTGTTAAGGGAAGTATCCTCTGCAGGTGCAGGTGTATTTGCAATGCTGCACTTCATCATGTCCCATTCAATCAACCTCTTTCAATTTTATACTCACTTTTGCATCAATTCTCGACCACCCTTATCCATGTAAAGTCCATCCATGCACAGATTATTAAGAATTGGGTATCCACTGAAAACTATCTGGCCTCAAAACTCATCAGATCCTACTCTGATCTGGGTTTTCTTCGACCTGCCCGCAAGGTGTTTGATCAATGTTCTCTACCGGGTACCGCTGTTTGCAATGCCATGATGGCTGGCTTCCTGAGGAACCACCAACACATGGAGGTTCCCAAGTTGTTCAAAATGATGGGGTCGGGTGATATAGAAATCGATAGTTACACGTGCATGTTTGCTCTTAAGGCATGCACCAGCTTGTTGGATGATGAAATTAGTATGGAAATAGTCAGGGCAGTGTTTCGAAGGGGGTTTCATTTGCATCCCTATGTTGGTAGTTCAGTTGTTAACTTTTTGGTGAAGTGTGGTTATCTTGATGATGCGCGGAAAGTCTTTGATGTGATGCCAGAAAAGGATGTTGTATGTTGGAATTCTATCATTGGTGGTTATGTTCAGGAGGGACTCTTCAAGGAGGCAATTCAAATGTTCCTTGAGATGATTGGTGGTGGGTTAAGGCCGAGTCCGGTGACAATGGTGAGCTTACTCAAAGCGTGTGGAGACAGTGGGCTTAAAGAACTTGGAACCTCTTCTCATGGTTGTGTCATTGCATTAGGCATGGGGAATGATGTATTTGTGCTTACTTCGTTGGTTTATATGTATAGTAATTTAGGTGACACTGACAATGCTGCTTTGGTTTTCAATGGCATGTCCAATAGAAGTTTGATTTCATGGAATGCTATGATTTCAGGATATGTTCAAAATGGTTTGATACCTGAATCTTTTGCACTCTTTCGTAGACTAGTCCAAAGTGGTTCTGGGTTTGATTCTGGAACCTTGGTTAGCCTTATTCGGGGATGTTCTCAAACATCTGACATGGAAAATGGAAGGATCCTCCATGCTTGTATTATTAGAAAAGGACTTGAATCGAACATAGTTTTGTCCACTTCAATTGTTGACATGTATTCTAAATGTTGTTCCACAAAGCTAGCAACTATTGTTTTCCGAAGAATGGGGAAAAAGAATGTAATCACATGGACTGCTATGCTGGTGGGTTTATCTCAAAATGGCTATGCGGAGGATGCCCTTAAATTATTTTGTCAAATGCAAGAAGAAAAAGTGGCCGCCAATTCTGTCACTCTTGTTAGTCTTGTGCATTGTTGTGCTCACCTAGGATCTCTGAAGAAAGGAAGGAGTGTCCATGGTCATTTGATCCGGCATGGTTATGCATTTGATGCAGTTAATGTGTCAGCGTTGATTGATATGTATGCCAAGTGTGGTAAAATTCGCTCTGCTGAGAAGTTATTCAATAATGGATTCCATTTAAAAGATGTTATACTATGTAACACTATGATTATGGGTTATGGAATGCATGGTCACGGGCATTATGCTCTAGGTGTATATGATAGAATGATAGAGGAAAGGCTCAAGCCAAACCAAACAACATTTGTTTCTCTGTTAACAGCTTGCAGTCACGCAGGCCTTGTTGAAGAGGGTAAGGCTTTGTTCAACTGTATAGAAAGGGATCATAACATTAAGCCTCAGGACAAACACTATGCTTGTCTTGTAGATCTTCTTAGTCGAGCAGGCCGCCTCAAGGAGGCAGATGCATTGGTGAAAGAAATGCCTTTTCAGCCCAGCACAGATGTGCTTGAAGCTTTGCTCAGCGGTTGCAGAACCCATAAGAATATTAACATGGGGATACAGATAGCAGATAGATTAATTTCCTTAGATTACTTGAACTCTGGAATCTATGTCATGTTAGCAAATATTTATGCTGAAGCAGGAAGATGGGAATCAGTGAATAACATAAGAGGCCTCATGAGGATGCAGGGCCTGAAGAAGGTACCTGGTTACAGTTTGATAGAAGTAGAGAACCTGGTACATACATTTTTTGCTAGTGATGATTCACATCCTCGTTGGTCTGAAATTTATGAATTATTAGAAAATTTGAGACTTGAGGTGGAGGCAGAAGGTTACGTTCCTGATACTAGTTGTGTTCTTCGTGATGTAAATGAGCCAATGAAGGTTAAGTTACTCTGGGGACATAGTGAGAGACTAGCTATTGCATTTGGTCTTTTAAGCACACCATATGGAAGCTTGATTAGGATCACCAAAAACCTTCGAGTATGTGTTGACTGTCATACTGTCACCAAATACATATCAAAAATAGTTCAGAGGGAAATTATTGTCAGGGATGCTAATCGTTTCCATCACTTTGTTAACGGGAAATGCTCATGTAATGATTACTGGTAATGAGGATTTGCCGAGAAATTCATGACATGCTTACAATAAGAGAAATATAGTGTTATTATTTCATTGTTAAACCTTACCAACCAGTCAAATATGTTAGTGCAGTGTGTTGCAATTCTTTTTTTTTTTTCCTTTTGAATGTCTTTATCGTGGTTGGCATCACTTTAGGTAGTTGTTTAAGTAACATGGGAGTTGGTGAACTTAACAACAGTCTCAATAAATTAATCATGGCAAGAACACACTACGAGTATATTAGAGCTCGTATGAGAATTAGTAAACTCCTAAAGTCTCCTCTAATTGAATATGAAAATTTCATTATATAAAGTTTGCATATAAACACTCTCTTTTTTTTCTTGAAAACATATACTTTGTATGAACATATGAAACTAAGGAAAAAAAATGGTGATGTCATATTTAAATATAATTATCAAAGTAAAAGGCTTGCCTTTTCAATGAATTTTTTGGTAGTTGGTATAATTTATTAAGACAGACTGATTAATTTAGTTTTTAAGAGTGTTTTATAGTTTCAAAATTATTTTTTTTAAGTTAATAATTTTTTTTTAACTCTAACAATACTTTTTGTCTTTTGCATATTTATTAATCTTTTTGGATAAGTCTTTATATATTATTAAAATAAAATTATTTTTAATCAAATTTCATTCTAATAATTATATATAAATATTAAATTACATTTTTAACAATAACATTATGTATCTACCTAAAATTTTAGGAATCAAATAGACAATTCTGTCTAAGAAAAAACATTAAGAGAAGATAAAAGCAATGTTCGGGAGAGTTAATAAATATTATATATGTCAATAGCTTAATTTTTGAAAAAAATAAGTTTATAAAATATATCAACAATAGTATCATTATGTTTTCAAAATAAAGTTTCCTACAGTGTTTTGGTTATGGAAAAGAGTTATTTGTTTGAATTAATGCAAGATAATAAGATACTTAAAAAAAAAAAAAAAAAAAAAACGCTCCTTTTCACTAAATATAATCTATGTTTAAATTTGATATTTTTTTGTTAGAAAATTTCTCTTTTCTTGTAAATGTTTGACTCCTATAACATATATTTTTCTTTGTAAATTTTTCTTTTAGCTTTGAATTTGGATTGCCTATTTATCATAGGATGTCGTGTCGCTTTTTGTTTGAATGACTATTTTCAAATTGCTTATGTATGGTAAATGCATTTTTTTCTTCAATTGATAAAGTTGTTTCTTGTGTATTTCTTAAGCATTTGTTATCGATCTTTAAAAAACATATTAATATTTTTTCTGTTCATTATTAATATTATGAAGGATGTAAATGAAAATAATAATATTATGTAGAAAAAGCTAAAATGGCATTTACTTTGTGACACTTTTTTTTCTTATATAATAATGGAAGGGAATAATTAACATTTTGTAGCATTTCATCATTTAATAACTTTAGTTTAATCGATCAAAAAATTCACGTACTCTTATATTTTGGCATCAAACAATAATAAGAACAATTCCAAGTACACCATGCAACCCTAGATTTGAAGGGCTTCTGGATGTTTGGATTTGATCAATCAACAAATTAACCATTTGGTCCAATCTTCCATTTTGATGAGCTGAATATCTGCATGGACTACAATTTTGGCCTTTAGTATATACATTCAAATCCAAATATGTAATCCATTTATATTTTATATAGCAAGTGTTCCCATTTCGTCCTTCAAGAAAGGTAAGAACAAAATCAAAAATCCAGGGTTAATTTAATAATGAAAGTTGGATATAAATTACTATGTATTAAAGTATTTCTGGGGTACATGTTAAAACGTTTGGTTTGAATCAATCTTCAATTATGGTCCTGGAGACAAACCCTGGATGATGAAATGAAGTACTAGTTCCACATGTGCAAACAAAGTAAAGTCAAAATGAAAATCTCTTTGTCACATGCAACAAATGCAACAGTGGCTTTGAAATTTGATGAATCCTTCAATCCACGGCGCGATTACCGTTTGAAGATATCCGAAAACCAAACGATTATCTTTAAAAAATGAAGAAAGTCTACTTTGAGGGAGCGTTTTTATAACTTTGGCAACTGGGGTCTCGTGTGAAGACTAAAGCATGGTTGTTGACAAAATTGAACTTGAGCCTTTTGAGAGACCAATAGAGTCGTTGGTAGTATTGTATTTTATGTTCTCTTGAAAACGAAAGCTACTTAGTTTAATGTTTTCTGTATTGGCCCATTCGTCAAAAATTTGTCTCTTTTTTAAAACATGCCTACTTTTTTGACCAAGGATCCTAAAATCAGGAACTACTATAAAACCATGTCTTTGTCTTGAACCCTTCATTTCAAGTGTGTGCATTATTAGCCCTTTGGTAGTTTGTGAGGGTTATCCGGAAGGAAATTGTTTCATTGTAGTGCCTCAACCTCACAAAACTAAAACCAAAGACAAATCTGCATAATTGGGGTACTACAATGGGTAACACCTTTGGTGCAAAGAAGACCACAAAGGTGATGAAGATTGATGGTGAGACATTCAAGTTGAAGACACCAGTGAAAGTTGAGGAAGTGCTTAAGGATCACCCTGGTCTTGTTCTGCTAGATTCTGAGGCTGTTAAGCACTATGGGGTGAGAGCAAAGCCTCTGGAATCACACAAGGAGTTGCAACCAAAGAGGCTCTATTTTCTTGTGGAGCTTCCCAAGGAGACAAAGCCAAGAAGGGTTCGTTCTGGCATTAACATGAGTGCCAAAGATCGCCTTGAGAACCTAGTGCTTACTAGGAGGTCTGCTTCTGATCTTTCAATCATGAAGCAAAGCAACATGGGTGATGGTGAACAAGGCAACAACAACAACAAGGAGAATAATGGTGGGGTGAGGTTGAAAATGAGGCTTCCAAAAGCTGAGGTGGAGAAGTTGATCCATGGTAGCAAAGATGAGGCTGAAGCAGCCCAGAGGATCGTGAAGCTGTACATGGCCAATGGCAGCAGAGAAACTGAGCAAAATGGTGAAAAGATGATGCTGTTTGATCCACAAACACACTGCAAAGACAGAGTTAAGGAGAGTCCAAAGGTATGTCATATTTGTCTTCACGGCATCTTGTCGATTGTTTAATCCTTAAACCTGAGTTTAATTTTAACTGGATTCTTTATTGTTAATTATTAGAATCAATTTGGATTTGTTAAACTTCCTTTTCTAAATCCATCTAAATAATTCATTGAAATTTTTGTAACAGAGTAGTTACGTTACGTTGCATTAAATGTGACATACCAAAGTTGGAATTTTCAAATTTTCTTTAGATGACAACATTTGATGTCGAATTTTCCACACATGGTATATTTTTCAGCGGAATATTTCAACCATGTTAAGGTTTCTTGAAAGAGTTATATATATATATATATATATATATATATATATATATATATATATATATATATATATATATATTTAAAAAAACTGCCTTTAAAATCTTTTTTAATTGACAATGCCGCCAAAGTCCAAAATAATGTAAACAAGCTCATGAGTTGAAAAATGGTATAAAAATAAACTATAAAAAAATGGTAGATGATGTGACACAAAAAGAAAAATAAGATGAAAACAAAATTATACCGACATACTGTATAATATCATTTTTTTTTCTTCCTTTAAAGTATTTTGATTCTCTCAATTTTAAATATTGTGTGCATTTCAATTTGTTGGTTCTGCAGAAGATATAAAATGGTTGCACGTAGTTTGCATAATGCATATTGACTTGGAAAAAATAAGTATTATATGAATCTTTGGTGTGTGAGTGTAACTATCTTATCCAATAAATTGTATCTGAAAATGGATTTGCGGAGACTAATTTTTGTGTGTTGAATTGAAAACTATTGCAGAAGAGGGTGAGCTTTATGCCAATGAACGAAGGAGGGACTCAAGTGGCTGTGGCTTCATAATTAACCACTCACCAACCGGAGGAGTTTTTCTTACACATAGTCAAAATAAAAGTGATGTTATTTGTACAATACATAGGTTCTCATTGTTACAACTTTATAGGTGTTTGAATATTATTAGTTTTATAGAACAGAAGAGTATTAGTGTGATGTGACGTTGTTGTGGGTAGTTGTAAATCTATGTATTGTATACATAGCATTACTCCTAATTAAAATCATGATCTGTACATATTTTGGGTATCTATCACATCCTTATATAGAGATGATACATCACGATTTTTTCTTGAAAACATTGTGTAAAAACTCACTTGTATACCTTAACTAGGAAGAAAGATTGCATCTAACAACGTTGTTATTTTGTGTGTTGGTCGAGTTCAAATTCATATGGACTAGCTTGTGCACACTTGTTGGTTAAACATAGTAAAGGACAAAAAATGAAATAATTTTTTTTTATAAATTAAAATTACTTGCACCATTTCAATACAATCTGGGATGTTGTTTGGTATATAGATGGAGAGGTATTAATGTGTAGATGTTGGGCCACTTTAAATGATAAATTTTATTTATATTGCTTCAGACTTTATCGGTGTGGAAATTAATTGGAAGTCGGTAGGAATATTTAATAATTTTTGTTAACTATTTTTCGATATGTATACAACCTCTTTATATATAGAAAATTTTTGTTTTTTATTATTTGTTATAGAATTTTGCAGTATTTGTTTTTAAAACAAATGGATATCAAGCTTGGATTGAAATTGATTTTTTTGTATGAAATTATTTTTTTTTGTAAAATATGATATTAAGAAGATGAGGTCATTTTTAGTTTACTAAGTAGTAAAGAGGCTCTTGAAAATATATATATATATATATATATATATATATATATATATATATATATATATATATATATAATTCTAATTACAAATAAATTCAATTTATGAAAGATTATGATAATCATGTTTATTATCAAAGTAGTTATATTCACAAAGTTTTCTGTTGATGAATATATATTATTGAATAGTAACACTTAAATTGACATATATAAACATTTACACGAAATAAACACCAAATTATTTTTTTATCATATTAAACATAAATAATTATTACAATTATTATATGAAAAAACATATATTATATTTATAATAAAAGCTATAAAACTTTATATAAAAAATTATATTATCTTTTTATGTTTTTTCCTAAATATACTTTTTAAAAAGTTTATCGAAATGTATGCTAAGTCTAACACAACGTTACCTCCATCCAAGACGTGTCTTGTCTTCCTTCCTTTAATGTTTTTGCATTTGAATATGGAAAAGATTCCTTCAACGACACCAATGAAATGGATTTCCTAACTTACCCTAAATCATTCCAAGACTTATAACAACAAAGAAAAGAGAAGAGTAATTAACTTCGAAAAAAAAAAAAAGGAAGTTAATGACATGACATAAAAAGGATGTAATTAATTTAAATTATTTTTAAATACCTAAAAAATTAAGTGCATTGAATATTTGTGACGCCTTTAAATTTTTGTAGGAACAAGGAAACATACTTTAATGGAAGTCTTTCATTTTTGTTTTTGATGGAGAAACTTTGAAGTGAAGGAATTGTTGCCCAATTGAAGGCAAAAGCAAGTCCTAAAAGTAGAATATTGTTGAATTAGAACTCAAGTTTTGTGAGTTTGTGATGGAAGGAATATGATAAAGGGTGCCAACTTCCCTTGACTAGGTTAGTTTATTGTTAGTGAAAAAGTTATTAATATTCATTAATGTTGCACTTCAAGGTTGACTATCAAGTATTACTTTTAAGTTATTGTGTTTGTTCTTTGTTTAATTTCTTTTTGGGAAATTATAATATGGTATTCATTACTGCTAAAAATATTAAGATTTAAATATGGTTTATGACCTTGGCATGACATAAGTTTTTTTTTTTAAATGTCTTCAAGTATTGGTATATGATTGAAATTATGCCTACCTAAGACTATGTGTTTAATTTATTTAATTTTTTATCACGGTTTTATAAATTTATTGACTTAAAGAAATGTTATTTTAATATATATTTCATAGAATAATTATTGTTTAATCATCGAAACAATTAATAAACAACTCAAAATATCACTATATTTTTTAGATTGTCTATTGGTTGTTTGAGTTGTCATATAATTATTATTTTTTATTTATATAAATAAAACATAAATCATCAATATAATAATTATAAAGGTTAATAAATTTTACAGAGTAGTTTGTAATTAAACAATAATGTATAATTGGTTCCCATTATTAATTCATAACCTATTTTCTAAATTAGTAAAGAGAAATTTACTAATATTTCACTTTCTTGGTAGACAAAAAAAAAAAAAAAAAGTGTAGTCCAAAATGTAGGAGTGTAGAAGTCAATTTAGTAAACTCAGGAAAAGTGGGGTGCACGTGAGAAAAGTCTATGATCTATTTTATCAAGCAATTTCATCTTACTTTCTGATTGAAGCACATGCAAAAATATAAAATGAAATTGCATAACTATTGTCAAAGCTTTCATCAGCACAATGCTTTATTTCTCAAACATTCAAACAACGCCATCTTAGGCAAAAGCCATTCTGTCCATTCACAATGCTCAAACTCTATCTTTATTTTATTTTAAATAAAAATTGAATCTGAAATATTGTTGCCTTTTTATTTACTTTGTAAATGAATTCTAAATAACATCAATACAAATTTAGCATAAGCAATGAATGAAAATATGTTTCATCAAAGATGAAAAACTTCGAGCGAAACCAACACATGTCAAACTTTTGAACAGATTAAATTTTTGTGGTTAATTTACTTCGAAGCACTTGATGGTTTTATTTTGTTCAAATTTAAAAATAAACATACATGCACATGCACTTGGCTTTTTTTTTCCAGTCAAACTCATTTTAAAAACACTACTGCAACTTACATACAAGCTTGTTCAAACATTAACAACACTAGTTTCCAAATCTGCCTCGTGTTCAAGCTGTTATGTATACCTGTGACCCGTCGTAGGTATGAAAAGATAGTTAGCAGACACAACTCAATTAGCTACAAATACTAAATTGTTAAACTTTAATGTTTCTATATTTTCAATATCTTATTTAGTATGAAGAATTATGTTGAACAATAACATTACTAGTAAGCCACTCCCTCGTCCGTTTTTATTTGAAGGCAAGCTAAAGATACAAAGAAAGCAAGTTATTAATGATCATAATGAACATATCAATATTCATTTATCAAATTATTGTAATATTCTCATTTAGAACAATAGATTGAGGGAGAAAAAGTGAAGTACAGCAAGGTGAACATCCGAGAGAAGTATCCAATATGGATACATGGCTAACATGTACACTTGACACTGCCTCTGCCCATGTGTTGTGTGTTGTTGGGAAAAGAATATATAATTATACATTTTCAGGATAACCACTGCTCAGGTAAGGTGAGAAAGTAGGTAGTCATGGCCTTCCTGAATCTTTTCTTGTATTGTTTAGGAGAAACTATTGTGGGGGCTGCATTCTTTGGACCCCCAAGTATACCAGAAGCCTTCACCCACGTCTCCAAATGTTTGTCCCATGTGTATTGTCTCATGAAATCAATGATCCCCAAAACCAGCTCCTTCCGCTCATCATCCACCCCAACCAGCAAAGAATAGTCCATAACATCAACAGACTGAACCACAAAATGAGAATGTAAAGTGAGTTTCAAACCCTTGTTATAAAATTGGCGATTGCAACACTTGAATAAGAGATAAAAATAACACCAAATGGCTAGTTAAATCATTGCCTGTTGTTGCATGCATGATTCAAGGCAAAATAGTCAAAGAGGTCATTTACAAGAACTTTTGAACCTTTAAATAGCTACATGCTATTGAGTATGACACAGATTTCAATCCTATATAACTTAATTATAAAATGCTAGATATAAGTGCTAACCATTCAAAAGATGTTTAGAAGCCAAAATAAAGCTTACCGCCAAAAAGGATGTGTCATTCCATACAGCTCTTTCAAGTCTTCTCTTGGCCCTACTGCCAAGAAATATGGGTTTTGTTCTCAATGCTTCTAACAAATTCATGTCCAGCATCACCTTGTTAGTCCCAGTTGTGTCTGGATTATATCTTGATCTTTCTGAGCCCTTGAGATCATATACCCTGGATATATTTCTCTTGTAAAAGAGATTCTCCATTACCATCAGATCTATTTTTGTTTCCTTGCCACCTTTTGGGTATTTGACAGTGACCTGTGCCACCAAAACAAGAAACATTATAAACAATAAAGTTTACATTACTCCAACGGTGTAGGTCTTGTAGACCATTAATAATGAGTTCTCTCACCTGATAGATACCAAGAATTTTGGCTAGGCAAGTTGGGCCTCCCGAGTTTAGGGCATCCATCAGGTATTTGAAATACTGAGGTGCAAATTCTTCAAAGGACTCCAGTTCTGTCTTGGTCACTTGTTTAATAATAAACCTCTCATCTAATGACTTGGCGAAATATACATTACTTTTACCTCCTTGCGCACTCCATCTCCGGCATCGGCTCAAGGATCGTACAAAATCAATCTCATCAGGGCAGCACTTTTTTCTAAGTGATTCAAACTGCTTTGCAAAATAGCAAGTGACAGAAAAATTCACTTTACCTCCAGCTCCCACAGAATCATCTCCAAAGGAAATTTGCAAGTGAATAGATCTTTTCGAGTCTCGGAGAAGAGAGCCAACAACAGAAGATGGAACATCTTCAGACCCATAACTACCATAATTGATGTAATCCAAGTCCAGATTACCCCCCCATGCAGAAAAGCTGGAGGTAGCCAAGTCTTCTTTGCTTCTCTCACGAGCAATCCAGCTACACTCAGGAAGATCTGACTTACCAGACACCCAATCTTCATATTCCTTGGAACTAAGGGCGTAGGATATTATACTGGAATAATCATTGTCATAGACAGCAATAACTCTATCACCGTGATAAGTTTGGGAAAGCAGCAGTCGAGCCCCTTCAGCTATGCACGACACAGAGGAAATGAATGATGGAGTGGAGCTTAGAATCAGATTTAGTTTCTGTGTCTCCCAAGGCAACATTTGAAAGAAAGATTGCAATATGTTAGAGACGGGGTCTCTAACCATATTCCCATAGTCACCAGAAGCATGAAAAGATCTAAGTGTTGATAAATGTAAAGATGAGGGCAAGACTTTTCTGATTCTTTCATGAACTCTTACTGCTGAATCAAAAGAATGAACTCTCATTGGTTGTGTCAACCTTCCAAAAGGAGGGCTATCATGTTGATTAGACCGCTGAATACTTACAACTGGGGCAGCATTTGCTTGAGGTTGATCAGTTCCGGTCCATGCAGAGTCTATTTTCTCAGAAAGATTGGACTCATTTGGTGATAAACACTCTGAAATTTTTTTGCTAAGTTCACCATCTGAATGTAGTTTCTCTCCCTCACTATAACAAACAAATGATCCTGAACCACAAGGTTCAAGTGTGTCGTCTGGCTCTGCAAGCATATGACTCTTGTGAGACTCATGCAATTTTGAAAGCCTGGAATTATTTTGCTCAGGTCCACAGTCAAAATTCTGATCCTTGTGAAATGAATCAACTCTTAATTCTTTAACATCGCCACAAAATTCATTTTCTAATTTAACCTTGGAGCTAAAACTTCTCTTAATGAGAGAGTCCAATGAGTATAGTCTGTGATCCCAAATATGTGAACCAATAAGAAGAGAACGCCTCAAGCGATTTAGTTCCAGAATATCTAAAGCCATCTTCCCAGGTTGTGGAGTCACTGTGCCTGACTTTAGCAAACACTGCATACAAATGCATGAGAAAATTACAGTAAATTAGATAAAAGCATATTAAACAGAAAAATATAAGAATGAACACACATACACACACTTGCACCCAACTATGTTCTACAAGACCAATTACCATAAGACAATAATGATACATTAGATAGACAGCATATATAAATTAGTTTGCTCACATGATAATCAGTTTTTTCTCTTCGTAGCATATCTTTCAAATCCAGTAAGTGATTTTGAATGTCCGATATATCTGATGATTCATTTCCAAGACCAGGAGATACAATCTTTGTTTCCAACCGTTCAAGCACATTGAATATCTCCTCATACAAAGTTTCCACTTTAATATAAAGCTGCACAAAAGAATAAGGAAGATGAAGTTAAATTTTTATGCCAAGGAGCAGATCAGCTAAAATTTAAAACTACTCTATATATATATATATACAGAATTACATTTAAAATAGCAAAGCAAATATAAACTGTAGCATCTTTATATCACCTCTTCTGCCTCCTTTCTAATCCAGTCCTCTTGGATGTGGTCAAATTCCAACACAGATGGGGGTAGATGGACAGAGAGAATATCAATAGGGAAATACCGGAAGAAAGCAACCATGCTCCCAAACCTGTTATACATCAGGTTTTTGGTCACCTCTCAAGTATTGATAACCAACATAAATACATAACAAAATAATTGATGGGTGTCTAGATGATTTACCCATAAAAACGTAGGCAATCCCTCTGCAAAGAATGTCCACAGGTTGCAACTCGATTTGCAGTGGCATGGTTTGAAAAGCTAAGTTCCAAGAACTTTCCAAAAGATAAACCCCAAGCTGCATCTGACATAAAAACTCTACGAGTTGCTGGTGGAACTCCATCCTCAAATGGACACCTCAGACACCGGTGCCACATCCAAATCTTGCCGTCTCTCTCCCCTGGTAACTTTACAGAGGGAAGGCGCCTAACATTGATTGTAAGATTTCCTTGTTGGTGAGTAAAACAAAGGACATGAGCCTCTGCTGGCTCTTTACAAGACTGGCAGCAACATGCCTGCACAAAGTAATTCATGTTATTTTCACTTCAGAATTAACCAGTACCAGCAAACACAAAAATAAAATCAACTTACTTGATCAAATAGATCATCACGAAGATATCTCCCAAGAGGCTTATCAAAAGAGCCATAGAATTTTATGCGCAACAACCTAGTTCGTTCACAAACAGTTCCTTTCGAAACACAATGACTGGAAAAGTACACCAATATGCTCTGATGACCATCAGTGGCAGAAAAGTATTCACCAGAATGCTCATCCTCATTAGTCTTGTTTTTTGTTGAGTCAGCAACTTCACCACACTCCCTATCCTCTTGAACCATGGTTTGTTGCAAACCTGATTGCAAAAGGTCTCTCGTACTAACAATAGTGCCTCCTTCTGATTCATTGCACGGATGTAAATAATCCGAATCTACAGTCAAATTAGAAGTTAAGTTATCACAGTATGAATCAGAGAATACACTCTCCGATCTATAATCTGCCATGGTGCCTGGATATGAATGACAACTAAGATCATCAATTTGCTCAGGCAGAGATCCCAATTTTTCAAGTTGTAAATCAATGCCAACAATGTCTTTCACTCTACATGCATCATCAGCGTCTGATTGGCACATAGTTGTAGAAAAGGTGTTAGGTATCATAGAAATATCAGTGTCAGCAGTTGCACTCTCAGGTGTGTCAGTAGAGTGTTTCACTATCATTTTAGGTAGGGTAGCACCCTCATCAGCGAGGAATGAGGTCTCAAGTGACAAGTGGTAGGCCGCAAAAACTGCATATTGCATGACATGTTTAATTTTCTTTAGTTCTTCCCGACATGTGCCCTTCAGCAAGACCTATAACCAAAATAAAAATCAGAAACAGACAACATTGCACATCCATATCCATATCATTTGTAAAAGGAAACATGTAAAAGAAAGCATGGAAAAAAATAAATAAAAGGAGAAGGAATACCGTGCAACCCAATCGCCGTGGACAACCTTCGAAAAACATTAATGTTTTGGATGGCTTTTTGTTTATCTGATTAGCAGTCTCCTGATCTTCCACCATTCTGTCTAACCGGAACAACTCACAATGGCCCAATCGTGCTTTAGATAAATTATCCACCGATGGAGTGATATGAGCACCAGTGCACCGAGCTATTCGCTCCAGCAAAGGCTTTTTAACATTCAACACCAAGGATATTTCCTTTGCCAGCAAATATTCCTGGGCACATGAAGCTACACTTTTTTCTACCAGCAAAACATTTGGCCGAAGAGCCTCAATTTTCGAAATGATCATCTTCAAATGTTCATTTTCCTGTCAGCATTTACAAATCAGAACTTCTTTCCAGGGAAAAAAAGTCTTAACTGGAAGACACAAAAATCACGAGTCATGAAAGCACCTGCTGTAACAATGTATCAAAAGAAGCCAATTGATTTGGAACTTTCTGATATTCCAGAGCTCCTCCCAAAAGGAGTAGTCTAGGATTCTTGTACTGAGAGGTCATGCGCTTGTGCTTAATATTTTTTGTGCAAACCACACCTTTGATAAGGGTGCTGCAAAACAAAAGATCATAATTAATGTTGATTGGGGAATCACATAGAAGTTCCAAGGAAAAAGTAAGTGATTTATAAGGTATAGAGGCAAATTTATAAGAGACATTACCTCTCACTTGGGATCCCAGATGCTATACATTTGACCTTTACATAATCACCAGGATCCATACTGCCACCTTTGCTAGTATCTGGTCTCACAAAGTTAGCAGCCTGCCAAGCTACTGTTGCAACTATGTCAAGCCAGTCCTCAGAATCATTTTCTTTACCAACTTGAATTCCCTCTCCTTGTAAAAGCTGTGAAATAAGAGCTCTGAAATGCCCTTCGATGACAGCTTTTAAAGGTTCCTTGTTTCCGTCATTATGTTTCTCCTTTCCAGGAAACATATTAGAAAGACTGCTACTGGATGAGAACATGGCACCTGAGTCACCAATATCATCATCCTCGTCATCATATGCAAAGAAATTACCTTCTGCGTCATCATTTTCATCATCTGGTGGTGGGGGAAACCAAATAAGACCATTGTTTTCAAAATCCAATGGCCTCTGCAAAATCCTATTCGGGTTCCGGAAAATAGATAAGTCATCAGAAAAATAAGCGGTAGTATATGCATCCTCAGTCCCTTGCTCAGGCTTTCTTAAAACAGCCATACTTTCTTGGGTAAAGGGACCATCATTTTGAGGGATGGGGCTTTTCTCCTGCGCCTTCTGTACAGGAAGCCCAGCCTTACTAGAAGTAAAACCAATCCTAGAAGGGCTATCTGAAGGACTTGACCCCACAGAATTATAGTTGTAAGTGTCATGTCTAGCACTAACGCTACTTGAATCTATATCTGAATAATTATCACAATATGTACGTGATTGGCTGAGAAAGTGCTTCCCAGAATCCTCCATCCCCTCTTCGTCACTCCTACATTTATACACAAAACATTTCAAGCACAAAGGAATTTTGGGGAAGAGGGACTACTTAAATTATGCAAGTCACTTGGAGTTTCATACAATTATAAAAGTGCATTTGTTCTCAAATTCAAGGATGATAAAGCATATATGTGAGAGAACATATATTCATCAATTAAAATGCCAATGATAATTTACCCTCTCAGTTATAATAGTCCTAGATCGTAGAACATCACTATGTTGAGATATCAGATAAGCAATAACTTTTTAATGAACTTCCAAATAATATAAAAGAAAAACATATAACTTTCTGTAATAAAGATGAAAATATATGATCACCTTAAGGTAGATGGATGAGTAGATACCGAAGAAGGGCGAGTACCAGATGAAGTCAAACTCTTGTTGACTTCAGAACAAGGATAATACCCATAATCATGGTCATGAAAACAGCGTTCAAAGTGAGATCCCAGAGGAGAACAGATCCTATCACTTTCAACACTAAAGCATGGAGAGGGTGGCTCAGGACTTTGCCTTGGACTCTCTTGTGGAGAGACAGATGGGTGCACTTTCTCACTACACTTCCTCTGACCCTCATAACACATCCTCCTATTGGCATCTGAACAGAACTTGCAGGAACGAATAGTTTCACTGAATCCAGAGTGGTCAGATTCAAGATTTGGGAGATCACAACCCCCGATGCATTTCCCACACAACCAACGGCCACAGCTCTTGCAATTGTATCTGTGCTGATTCATCTCACTTAAATTTTTATTACACTCACAACACATTTTGCTGCCGCTATGGTGCATATCAAATTTCTCAGACAAATAACACAAATCACTTTCTCCCCAAGAAACCCAAGACCTTACCTTTTCTATTAGATCTAATAGTGAACTATCAGGTATTCCCATATAAGATGTAATGACCCAACAAAGAACTCAACCACTGCCTCAAAACAAAAACAAAAGAACTCTACTCTCACCCTCAGTATAGGGATTTTCTTTCACAAAACCAAAAACAAAAAAGGCAAAAGAAAAATCCTATCCTTTGGCACCAGAATACTGTTCACTAAAATTGTCTAAAATTAAAAAATCAAGTGAAGAGTATTGGTAAAACCCACTATAAAATTAGCGGGGTGACTGTATTTTTTGTTTTTAATCAAATTAAAAAAAATACTTTTTTTTTGCACTTTTAATTTTGCAAATCCTCCAGGGAATCAAATAATATCAAAGGAGGAGGCAAAACTATAACGACGAGAATCTAGGATTCACCAATCAAACAATATTTACACCGAAAAATAAAATCCTACCAAAATAACCACAAGACCCACGGAACAACAATGTTTCTATTTTAAATACCACAAACCAAGAACGAGAATCTGTCTCCAAACCCAGCAATAAAAGCACGAAATTTTAAAATGATAATGAGACCCCCACAAATTTAACCGATCCCTAGATCACCCAGAATGTACTGAGGAACCGATTCAAGCATTACCCCCCAACAAAAGACGCAAGAACCTTCATGGAAAACAAGTTCATCTCTCTGTTTAGAACTAAAAGGCAAAGTCTCAGAACAGAACCCCTAAAGAAGAAGGAGAGAGAAGAGAAAGAGTGAATGAAGGAAGAAACTTTAAATGATGGGAAGAATTAGAATCAAAAGGAGAAAGAGAAGAAGTACGGAGAAGGTTCCCTTTCTACCGGAATAGGCTCGCATCTCAAACAACAACGCCACTTCCTTCTTACCCATCTTTCTCTCCCTCACTGCTTTCCTTTCTATTCTTTTCTTTTTCTTTTCCCTTCAACCTCTCTTCCCTCAACACCTTATTATTATTATTATTTTATTACCTTATAATAATTATTGTTATAATAATATTATTATAATAAATAATAATTAATGTTTCAGTCAAAAAAAATGAATAATTCATGTCATTCATTTGTTGATTTTTCAAAAGCAACACGTAAACTTTCCATCATATTTATTTTTTAATAAAAACATAACTCTAAATATATTTTACTCTTAAGTTTTAATAAATTTATTTTAATTTATCAAATTTAAAATTAATTTGTAATCATAATAATAATGAATATTTAATGCTATTGATTTGCTGATTTTTCAAACGAACACGCAAAACTCTCGCAATTACTTTTAATAAAAAATATTTAAATATAGTTTATCTCTTAAATTTCAAAAACAAATCTCACATTAACATTAATGTTATAATCATAATTTATATCATTGTATAAAAAAATAGAAACAGAAATCAAAATAATCAAATATATTTTTTCCAAATTACAAAAATATTAAAAAAATATATGTTTTCATTTAAAAGACGAAAAACAAGTTTACATTAAAACATATTTAACTTAAAAAATAATAAAATATAACTATTTTTAAAAAATAGTAATAATTCTATTTTCTCCAAATTCAGAAAATAACCTTATTTATCAAACAAATAATTTATTTCTTAATAAATAATTTATTTCTCAAATAAATATTTTGAAATCCAATTTCGGTGTGCGTATAAAAAATTATAATTTACGAAAAACGAATTATGATAAAATAGTTTTAAAAATATATTTTATAATAAAATAATTTCAGAAAACTTAACAACAAGAGATAACCACCAGATTTATTATATATTTGGAAAGTAAAATAAATTAATAGGTAATATTTTGAAGAACTGAATTAAAACATGCCTAATATAGAGGATGAAATTAGTATTTTATAAAAAATAATAATAAGCTATGATTCCTTTTCAGACGTTACCAAAACCTAAAATATAACAATCTAATTGATTTTTTATTCCTCTCTCTTCCCATTGGTCCCATCCTATGTCAGCATGGTTATTGCATTAGTTAGGGTTTAATTAGTATAATTAGATTATCTTCAATTGGGTTGTTTCTTCTCTCTCTTTGTCAAACATTGCTCGTTTTGATTCGTCCGTTTATGCATTCTTTACTGTTCATTGGTCAGCATCAGTGTGTAGACCACAGCTTCAACTCTTTTTATCACTTTTTATATTTACGATAATAGCATGACTAATTAATTATATCAATTGTATAATTTAATATAATTATTAATTATTATATTTATATATAACTCATAATAATTCATTTTTATTTTTATATGTCTTTATCAAAGTGATATAAAGGAATAGAATGGATATGGATAAACAATATCCTTCCTCAAATACATAATTTTAAATCATTTAGTATGTATTTTGATTAAATAGAAGGAAGATTTGAGAGATTAGAATGAAAGGAGAAAGTGAAACTATTAAAAGAAATAGAGTGGAAGGTAGAGAGAATGAAATGGGAAGACAATAAAAAATAATATTAATTTGATTAATTAAAATATTATTTTATTAATTTTAAATAAATATATTTATTAATTTAATATTTTTTATTTTATTTTATTTTTATTTTATTTTATTTTATTTTTTATTTTTTATTTTTATTATTATAATAATTATAAATTTAAAAAAATAATATTTTAGAAAATAAAATATAATTGATTATAGGAAGAGATATAATCGATTATATTTTATTCCCCGTATATTTTTTTTAGATGTTAAAAAAAATCATATTTTTTAATGTCTTGTTTTTCTAATTTTAATTTTTTTTTACATATCTATCATTTTTCTATTTTTTTATTTTCTTGTGTTCATTAATCTAATTAAATTTAAATTTTATATTAAAATTTATGGGATCTAATGATAAATTTTCTTGGAAGTCATCCCTTCTAAATTTTTAACATATATATTTATAATTTTATTCTTTTATCTAATAATCATTAAATATATGTATTTGTATATTTATAATTTTGATTTCTTATTTTTTATATTATTTTATTTTTTATATTCTTTTATTATGTATTAAAAATATGTTATTAAACCTCAAAATCAATTACTAATTCTAACTTATCTTAACTAAAAAACACAATGTAAAAGAAATAATGTTTGGGTAAAAAATATTATTTATTCTCTCTAAAAATATAACTTATATAAATTTTATATATTTAAAAGAATAAAAAACGTTAAAAATAATAGTATGAAATAACAAAATATTTGAAAAGTGTTACGTAAAAAATTTACTGATTTATTTATAAAAATCTATCAAAATTTGAATTTTAGTTTCATCCTAAACTCACTTTATCATTTATCATAATAGTTGTATTATAATAAAAAATAAATTAAACTAAAACTAACATATTTAAAAACTTTTAAATCATTTAAATTATATATATGTACTAAATCCATTTAACAAAATTTAAAAATGTTAAACATAAACATTCGGTAACATAACATTACCCATGTTAATACTATTACATGTATATCTCTTTCATCATATAATATCACATTACATACAACATAATAAAACATCTTTTAAAAGATTAATCCTATCTTCAAAAACTTATAGACTAACATTTATAGGGCATAGTAATATTGATACTTTCTAATTATACATCATTTTGACTTTCTTATTCAGTAATTCGTCTCTCTCTCAAGTTTGATGGAAAAAATCAAGTTGATCGGGTACATGTTCAGGTTTTCTCCATGTTAAAAAGTTGGGGGTGAGGGTCTGGGAGGCAAAATCCACCTCCACCCAGTTGTCATGCTTATTTATAATTGACAAATTGGTAATAATCTCTCTATCGACTCTCTTCTATTGATATTTTAGTCTAGTTACATGACCAACACTATTAATGAAACTTTGAATCTTGTTAAATTTACACATAGTTGTCACACAAACATTAAAGTACCTCCTCAGGTACACAATATCATTTCTTGATCCTCTGTCCCAACTAACTTGTTTCATTTCAAAACACACATCTTAGTCAATTATGAATCACATCATTAACTCGACATAATCTCATATAGATATATATCAATCAATTATGACGCACACTCCTTACTTGATTTAACCTCACACAAATATATCTTAGTCGATTATGAATCACATCCTTGATTTGATTCAGTCTCACATTGACATAACATCACCATATCATCATACATTCCAATTAATATAAAGACATTTCGATTAAGCGACCATTTATCACTTGAGCAAAATGTTTCCAATAGCTTTAGCAACATAGCCACTTCGCTTGAGTGAAGTTATTCTAGAAACAAGTCATCCATTATGTTTGTTTTCGCTTGAGTGGCTCACATGCAGAATCAACCCCCTTTTTTTTTTATTTGTATTTCACTTAAACAACCACATGTCACTCAATGAAATATAGGTCAAGGCAATTCTCTCTACTATATAAGTATTATCACTTGAGTGACACTCAATTGCTTAACTCATACTCCATCATTAAAGTGAAAATTAAGTTGTATCAATTCTTTCTCCATTGATAACCTATTTACTTGAACGACACAATTTTTGCTTAAGCGAATTACCACTGTTTAATCCACATCTTCCACTTTGACTCCTCATCGAAGCGACCAATGTGTCATTTGAGTGAAAAAAGACAAAACAGGAAGATTTCAAACACCATTCACACCACAATAACACATTAAAAATGTCATATTACACCAAATCAACCTAAACATCCATTTTTATTGCATCCAATAAATCAAAATACATATATCTATAATCCATGTGTATTTTTATTTGAATAATTAACTTCTTTTACCTAGATATCCCTACAATCCAACGTTTGCAAGTAATAATGCATTCCATAATTACCTCATTTCACTTTAACACCTATACAACATCCTCATATAACCATTATAATAAGAATTACTAATTGATATCCCTTTGTACTTTATAAATAACTTTAAACAATAAGAAGTAAAAACCACTTACTTGACCAAAAATTGTATGAGTATGAGGTAACTTTGTTCTTTAATGTTTCAACTCCTTCTTATTATTTATTGACCTAAATTACAATAGAAATGTAAGAAATGTCT